GACTGAGGTGAACCCTCTGGAACTGTCACCTCCAGCTCCAACCCCAGCCATCCTCTATGGTAACAAACTCTGAAAGCAAAAGTCAGAAATGAGGAACATGTATTTTTTGGTTATTTTTGCTTTTCTCTTTATTTTTGGTGTTTCCGTCCTGTCTGTGGATCTGTATAATTTCTTACTCGCAGAAGAAGTCAATATCCTGGGAAAAAAAGATTGAATTCATCAGGCAGGGCAGAAGACAGATGTGGGTTTTTTATTTTGGATTTAAAATAAGTAAATGTTGAAACCCAAAGAGTATGATGTAATTATCACTTTAAGTAAAAAACTACTTTAATATGAAGGTTCTCAAACACACTTTTAATTTGTGGTTATTTGACACATTCAAGCTCAATGCTTAAGAAGCCGTGACAAGTGAGTCCCGTTTGTGTAGGCTGGGCGATGTTTTGAAGTTATTTCCCATAGCAATTAGCTCCAGAGAAGCGCTTCCAAATAACCACCCTGCCTAGTAGCTCAAAGGGGATCTTTTATTTCTGTTCTGGGTTTGCAAGACCCCAGGGCATTAGAGAGAGTATAATTTCTTTTTCGTACATCAGTAAGAGTCAATCTACCACAAAAATAAGGCAAATATTTTTCCAGAATGTTTTGCTTTTGGTAAATACAGATGCCAGTGTTTTTCTCAGCCCAAGTTTTTTAGTTAAATAAATATAACAATCAGAGTCAGTTAATACTGCTTGGGCTTCTTTGTGACATAGACTCCTTCTCAGGGTCACTTGCAACTAAAACAAAGGAGGTGGGTGGAGAAAGTTCACTGATCTTGCCACATTGAGAGTAGGTATAAATGCTCCCCCACACCTGTCTCAGAAAAAGTCCCACCTGGGAGTGGACTCAATATATCTTGTAAGTTTATAACGGACTTTTAACATCATGACCAAAGGGAAGACCTGTAACCTACCAAGTTCACACCGGAAGCCAAAGAGCTAGTGATCCAGGGAGCTAGGACCTGAGTCCACTATGCCCCCTCTGAGATGCTTACCGTGGTGGGGACTTCTTTGGTGGCTTCCTGGTACACGTGTTGCTCCTCGACCAAACTGCTGGGGAAATAACCCACGGTTCCTATCTCATCCTCATGGCGATCTCCATACACCTGAGTGCCCAGAAGTGCCACAGTTAGGGGAAAGCTCTGTGTGTCCCCTTGCAGAAACTGTCAGGCTTCCTCCTTGCTGTTAATGAGAATTACATAACTGCCAATGCCTTGCTTCCCTCTGGATTCCAGGAGGCTCACACCCAAATCTGAAGTTCAGTTCCAGCAACAAAGCCAATCCAAAGAAATTGCCTACCATTCTTTTGTGGCTCAGTCTTAACTAGTCTTACTTTTAGTGTCCCTTTACTTTATGCAATTTTGTAAACTGTCTGAAATCTTTTTAGAACCTATACATTTAAAAAAGTTACTAAATCCTTAAAAAGTAAATAGAGCCTTTTCTTTTAAAGGACTTGTATTTCTCAGTTTTAAAAAATTCAGATGGACAGATACTAAAGTAAATTTAAGATTTAATTCTTCATTCTTTGAGAACCGATCCATGGGTCAGCAGATGAGGACACAGTCCTGCTTCATCCCTCCTCAGAGCCCACCCCTGCATGTTTTAACTGAAGAAGAAAGATTCTTTGGAATTCAAGAAGGTGCTAATGTTTCCTTAAAAATATTGAAACACAGACTGCCAACACACGTGCCTTTTTCTTGGAAAATTGGCTTGTTTTTTAATACACTTTAAACTCTTTGAGATGTTCAAGCTGAGACATGAACCATGGGCTTAGACAGAATAGGGTGAGGGCCTCCGGAAAAAGCAAGGCAGGATATTTACAGTCAGAGCAATGTAACTACGTGCAAGGAAACCCCCTACCAAAACTCTGTGTTAAACATTAAGCTCTAGAGTCATTCTTCATTGAGATCAGTTAATATTCCCCAGATAAAGAAGAGTAGCACGTTTTTATTATGCTAATCGTTTGTAATCCTGTGTAAGATTCACTTTAGCATGCTAAAAGGCCCAGGCTATGTGTTGTCTTTCCTCCTTCAGATCTGACGAGGTACTTTTGCAAACTGAGCAACTAACTTAGCCTGCAGACCCAGCTGTAGACGGCATGGTAAAAGGCAGGAAGAATTCCATCTTAAAGATAAGATTGCATTTTAACATGCAGGAAGTTTAAGAGGCAGGATTCTTTAGCAAATAGACAATACCTCAGCCCACCTTGGGGGCTGGGCAGGCAGCCTTTTGATGTGCTCCCAGACCAAGACGCCGGTATTCCAGAGAGAAATCAAGGCAGGAAATTCCTTATGTTAATTTTTAATATTCAGGGACCACTTAACAAGTCCAAACCCCTAAGTTTTTTTCATGTTCCCATATATCCTCAACTGCCTTTAAAACCCTTAGACAACGCACCACCACGGACACTCCTGTCCCCTCCAGGCATGAGCAGGGAGCTCTGTCATTTCACTTTATCTCTGAATAAAAGCCTGTACCTTGCTCTCCTACCTTGAGGGTTTGTGAAGCTCATTCTTCGGCTTCATGAACAAGAACCCCATGCATCAAAGCCCCTGTGTGTTTGACCAGCTTTTCTTGCCAAAACATTACATAAACCTACATTTGGTTTTTGTAGGTATCAAAGAGAGGTAACAGAGGAAAAGTGAAGAGCAACGTTAAGTCAAGATGTGTGTATAGTTTTAATAATCTCCTTACACTGCCAGCCCAAAATTCTCCAGCTTCATTTTCTTTTACCAGCTTTGAGTAAACATAGATCTGCTGCCCCTTTTTAACGTTAATGAATCTACAGTCCGGGGCATTGTAATCTTCTTGAGCTCTGGCCAGAGAAATAGTATCTAGAAGAAAAACACATTGAAATGACTACATTTTAGACTCCTGGATTTTGTAACAGTAAAAAGGCAAAGCACATCAGGAAACCAGGAAATCAGGTTGACTAATCCCTCCCAGTTACAGCTGCCGTTCCATTCAAGAGAAGTAAATATCTGAGGTATTTAAAGCTGCATCCAACAGAATCTTAGCCAAGTGAATTTTCCATAATAAAAGGTATAGACAAGGAGAAACAATGCTAATAACATACACGTTAGAGAAGATTCACTTCAAAGTACTATTAGATTGTATACCGTTAGTGGATATTTTTTCAATTATATAGTAGAAATATAATGAAAGGCATAGAGAAGTCCTTACACACACACTCGTCATCTGCACAGAGCTTCTTGGAAGCAAGTCTGTCCATAAATATTCCATGCACGGAACATAGAGCCACAAGGCCTGGGAGGAGAAGTAGTAACAGTCTTGCCATCTTCGTTTCTGGCTATTTTTGCCGTCACCCTTTACGTAGAAGTGGAGACTGGCTCCAGTGGTTCTTGTCTTTTATGTAAAAGCCAGAGATCTGGGTAAATCCTCCTGGCCAATGGGAAGGTGTCTACTGTTCCTCAGCTTTCATTACAGCTACTGGGCTCCAGGGGCTATTTCACATCTGACTCTCCAAAGACTCTTTCTGTTTTTTTTATATACAAATGATATCCAGAATGGTCCACTATTGTTGAAGCCACTTTATCTGCAGTTCATTTCACCAGCAGAGCATTGTTGAAACAACTAGGGGAATTTGGAATTATTTAAGAAGTTTTTTTAGTTCAACTCTCATATTCTTTCAACTTATGAGCAAGATGTGTTAACTGAAAGAAACTGTTGAAAATGTGAGATCTATATCCTTAGTACAAATAATTTTGATTTAAACAAATCAAATTAGTAAACATGTAGATTTGTATAATAGATAAATAAAGGATGCTTAAGTGTGCATATCTTTCATGATAGATTCTTAGAATTTGCATCTGCCCTGGGGCAGACATGGATTATAACACACTAGTTGTCACATCCAGAACCTACTAATGGAGAAAGGAAGGGATCATTGGAAAAAATGGAACAATCTATTTTCCACCTTCTCTTTCTGAGACATTTGAAATTCAGTCTCAAGATGCTCGTGGATCATAGATCACAGAGAGAGGAGTAAAGCAGGAAGTTTTTGTTACCCTCTCTGCTTATGGGTACCTTTCCATGAAAAGAGGTCATTGACAGAAATCACCAAAATTTAAGTGCTAACACCTAGCTGTCTATTCAACAAATATTTATTGAGCACCTACTATGTGTGGAACACCCTTCTATGCACTAGAGATAGCAGTGAATGAAAAAGGCCCTGGTCCCAAGGGTTTACCTGGGGGCAAAGAAGAGACAGACAGGTTGCTGCTTTTTACAATGTTTGGGGCTGGCATCTCTCCCATAAGATGCTTCCCCATTGTTTCTAGAATAGAGGTCCCTATCAGGGTGCCGTGTGCAACACGGCTGATGATAAGGTTTCAGAGCAGAACCTCCTTCACACTCCCACAAATGCAGTCACCTCACAAAATGAAAGACAAGCACTCACCTTACAAAATAACTTTGTACAAAACAGTATTCCAATGAATAAACTGGTTAAGCAAAACATAGCATAATAAAAAGGTCTTATTGTTTGCATGTGTGTGTTGTTTTCAGGGGAGAATCTTTTGTATAGCTGCTTCAAATTTGAAAGCTTGTTTAATTCAATATCTTCATTATGCATGAAGAAACTGAGGCCAGAGCCACCCATCTGCTGTCCAATTAGAACTAGGATTTTAAATTTGTCACTTCCTGTTTCACTTTGAGGAAAAAAATCACTCCTGAAAGCAGATTGCCAGAACATTTTCCTACCTACAATCTAGGGGCCTAAGAGGATCTCTGGGGAAACTAAAGCATTGATTAGATTTTAATTCTAATTTGGCAGCTGCTGAACAGACTGTTACAGTTTCCAGCCAGCCTCAGCATAAGAGAACTAAAAGACAATTGCCATTTGAGAGGCACTTTGCAGAAATGAGGGCTGCTCAGATGTCCATGGCCACACCATGTACAGGCCTCCCAAAGCAGTGAAACAGCCAGAGCAGGCTGAATAAAGTCTCAACCAAGCTGTCACAACAACACAGCAAACTATGGCTGATACTAACGTGAAACCACTATTGGCCATTTGAAGGAGGAAAAGTGAAGAAAAGTGATGCCAAGCCTTCTGAGTGCATCCTGAGCAGGCCAGGGAGGCACTAGTGTTCTGCAGTGGGTAGAGGGGATGGAGACTAGAGGGCTCTGTGTAAAATTTTGCCTGCAAATAGGAATTAAACTTACAATAAGTAACTCAGCAAGCAGTTGTGCATACTTAAGACACTGTAGATACTGGGGATCCAGGGAAGGGCTCTGTCCCGAGCTTGCATATGCCCCTCTTCTGGATTTTCAAATACATTCTCTGAGCCTTTAATCCCCAAAACACATTTTTTCCTGCAGGAAGTTTAAGAGGCAGGATTCTTTAGCAAATAGACAATACCTCAGCCCACCTTGGGGGCTGGGCAGGCAGCCTTTTGATGTGCTCCCAGACCAAGACGCCGGTATTCCAGAGAGAAATCAAGGCAGGAAATTCCTTATGTTAATTTTTAATATTCAGGGACCACTTAACAAGTCCAAACCCCTAAGTTTTTTTCATGTTCCCATATATCCTCAACTGCCTTTAAAACCCTTAGACAACGCACCACCACGGACACTCCTGTCCCCTCCAGGCATGAGCAGGGAGCTCTGTCATTTCACTTTATCTCTGAATAAAAGCCTGTACCTTGCTCTCCTACCTTGAGGGTTTGTGAAGCTCATTCTTCGGCTTCATGAACAAGAACCCCATGCATCAAAGCCCCTGTGTGTTTGACCAGCTTTTCTTGCCAAAACATTACATAAACCTACATTTGGTTTTTGTAGGTATCAAAGAGAGGTAACAGAGGAAAAGTGAAGAGCAACGTTAAGTCAAGATGTGTGTATAGTTTTAATAATCTCCTTACACTGCCAGCCCAAAATTCTCCAGCTTCATTTTCTTTTACCAGCTTTGAGTAAACATAGATCTGCTGCCCCTTTTTAACGTTAATGAATCTACAGTCCGGGGCATTGTAATCTTCTTGAGCTCTGGCCAGAGAAATAGTATCTAGAAGAAAAACACATTGAAATGACTACATTTTAGACTCCTGGATTTTGTAACAGTAAAAAGGCAAAGCACATCAGGAAACCAGGAAATCAGGTTGACTAATCCCTCCCAGTTACAGCTGCCGTTCCATTCAAGAGAAGTAAATATCTGAGGTATTTAAAGCTGCATCCAACAGAATCTTAGCCAAGTGAATTTTCCATAATAAAAGGTATAGACAAGGAGAAACAATGCTAATAACATACACGTTAGAGAAGATTCACTTCAAAGTACTATTAGATTGTATACCGTTAGTGGATATTTTTTCAATTATATAGTAGAAATATAATGAAAGGCATAGAGAAGTCCTTACACACACTCTCGTCATCTGCACAGAGCTTCTTGGAAGCAAGTCTGTCCATAAATATTCCATGCACGGAACATAGAGCCACAAGGCCTGGGAGGAGAAGTAGTAACAGTCTTGCCATCTTCGTTTCTGGCTATTTTTGCCGTCACCCTTTACGTAGAAGTGGAGACTGGCTCCAGTGGTTCTTGTCTTTTATGTAAAAGCCAGAGATCTGGGTAAATCCTCCTGGCCAATGGGAAGGTGTCTACTGTTCCTCAGCTTTCATTACAGCTACTGGGCTCCAGGGGCTATTTCACATCTGACTCTCCAAAGACTCTTTCTGTTTTTTTTATATACAAATGATATCCAGAATGGTCCACTATTGTTGAAGCCACTTTATCTGCAGTTCATTTCACCAGCAGAGCATTGTTGAAACAACTAGGGGAATTTGGAATTATTTAAGAAGTTTTTTTAGTTCAACTCTCATATTCTTTCAACTTATGAGCAAGATGTGTTAACTGAAAGAAACTGTTGAAAATGTGAGATCTATATCCTTAGTACAAATAATTTTGATTTAAACAAATCAAATTAGTAAACATGTAGATTTGTATAATAGATAAATAAAGGATGCTTAAGTGTGCATATCTTTCATGATAGATTCTTAGAATTTGCATCTGCCCTGGGGCAGACATGGATTATAACACACTAGTTGTCACATCCAGAACCTACTAATGGAGAAAGGAAGGGATCATTGGAAAAAATGGAACAATCTATTTTCCACCTTCTCTTTCTGAGACATTTGAAATTCAGTCTCAAGATGCTCGTGGATCATAGATCACAGAGAGAGGAGTAAAGCAGGAAGTTTTTGTTACCCTCTCTGCTTATGGGTACCTTTCCATGAAAAGAGGTCATTGACAGAAATCACCAAAATTTAAGTGCTAACACCTAGCTGTCTATTCAACAAATATTTATTGAGCACCTACTATGTGTGGAACACCCTTCTATGCACTAGAGATAGCAGTGAATGAAAAAGGCCCTGGTCCCAAGGGTTTACCTGGGGGCAAAGAAGAGACAGACAGGTTGCTGCTTTTTACAATGTTTGGGGCTGGCATCTCTCCCATAAGATGCTTCCCCATTGTTTCTAGAATAGAGGTCCCTATCAGGGTGCCGTGTGCAACACGGCTGATGATAAGGTTTCAGAGCAGAACCTCCTTCACACTCCCACAAATGCAGTCACCTCACAAAATGAAAGACAAGCACTCACCTTACAAAATAACTTTGTACAAAACAGTATTCCAATGAATAAACTGGTTAAGCAAAACATAGCATAATAAAAAGGTCTTATTGTTTGCATGTGTGTGTTGTTTTCAGGGGAGAATCTTTTGTATAGCTGCTTCAAATTTGAAAGCTTGTTTAATTCAATATCTTCATTATGCATGAAGAAACTGAGGCCAGAGCCACCCATCTGCTGTCCAATTAGAACTAGGATTTTAAATTTGTCACTTCCTGTTTCACTTTGAGGAAAAAAATCACTCCTGAAAGCAGATTGCCAGAACATTTTCCTACCTACAATCTAGGGGCCTAAGAGGATCTCTGGGGAAACTAAAGCATTGATTAGATTTTAATTCTAATTTGGCAGCTGCTGAACAGACTGTTACAGTTTCCAGCCAGCCTCAGCATAAGAGAACTAAAAGACAATTGCCATTTGAGAGGCACTTTGCAGAAATGAGGGCTGCTCAGATGTCCATGGCCACACCATGTACAGGCCTCCCAAAGCAGTGAAACAGCCAGAGCAGGCTGAATAAAGTCTCAACCAAGCTGTCACAACAACACAGCAAACTATGGCTGATACTAACGTGAAACCACTATTGGCCATTTGAAGGAGGAAAAGTGAAGAAAAGTGATGCCAAGCCTTCTGAGTGCATCCTGAGCAGGCCAGGGAGGCACTAGTGTTCTGCAGTGGGTAGAGGGGATGGAGACTAGAGGGCTCTGTGTAAAATTTTGCCTGCAAATAGGAATTAAACTTACAATAAGTAACTCAGCAAGCAGTTGTGCATACTTAAGACACTGTAGATACTGGGGATCCAGGGAAGGGCTCTGTCCCGAGCTTGCATATGCCCCTCTTCTGGATTTTCAAATACATTCTCTGAGCCTTTAATCCCCAAAACACATTTTTTCCCTTCAGTTCCTAAATTAGCTTCTCACTCTGAAGCTCTTACAATGGATGCTGTGGCTCCTTTAGGGTCTAAAAATAGGTTTGGACAGGCAGGTAGGGTAGAAGCAGCCTCCCCTTGGGACCTACTAGGCCCAGCATGATCTGCCCCTCTGAACCCCTAAGGTCACCTACTGTCACTCTCTCCCTTACTCTGTTGCTGCCATACCAGCTGTTCTGTCTTTTGAAAACACTAAGCTCATTTTCACTGCAGGCCCTCTGAGATTATTGTCTGGGATGCTTTTCCTCCAGACACTGGCATTCAGATCTCTGACCGAGATGTCTCCACTGACAGACCAGTCTGAGAGCCACTCCCTGCAATTCTCCAGCCCCATCCGTCATGTAACTGTGGCACACTGAACTACAGTGAGTATCCCTATCCGACAGGCCTTGTTAATTTACTTGGTGGGTGCTTGTTCTCCAACACAACGACAGCTCCATGAGGTGGGGACCTGGCCTAACTTGGCCATCGCTCTATCACTAGCACTCAGAAAGATACTTGGTATTCAAAAATGTGTATCATGGGGGCGGAACCAAGATGGCGGCGTGAGTAGAGCAGTGGAAATCTCCTCCCAAAAACACATAGAGCTATGAAAATATAACAAAGAAAAATCTTCCTAAAATAGAGACCACAGGACACAGGACAACATCCAGACCACATCCACACCTGCAAGAACCCAGTGCCTTGTGAAGGGGGTAAGATACAAGCCCCAGCCCGGTGGGACCCGAGCGCCCCTCCCCCCGGCTCCCGGCGGGTGGAGAGAAACCGGAGC